GGAAGCCTGCTTCTCCCTCTCCCACTCCCCCTGCTTGTGTTCCCTCTCTCGCTGTGTCTTTCTCTGTCAAATAAATAAATAAAATCTTAAAAAAATAATAAAAAAATAAAATGTATCCAGTGAAGTCTAAATCATAGTGATTTGATATTTATCATTGATTTGAAAATAGACACCTTTCATTAACAATGGGAAGTTTTATTCATTCCTTTTCTCTTTGAACTTCTACTTAAATTATCGTCCACATAATTTTATCCTTATATAATGTATTTTCACATTTGAAATCCCTATCGATCTATCTGTAATACTTTTCTGTAACAGAAATGTATATAAATAGAAACTATAGACATAGAAATGTTTTTTTTTTAACATAATTTTCTATTAAGCATTTAAAAATCTCAGATATTTTTTCTGAGTTATTATTGAGTCATGAGTAGTATGCAATTGGTCAAATATTTACAAATTTTATAAAGTGTTAGACAAATATTTATTGAAAATGTGCTGCTTATTAAGGTTTGGTGCTTTTCTCAGTTCTAGTACCCTTGGAAGTTATTACTAGGACAAGGAATCAGTTTCATTTGTATTCTTTTAATTTTTTTGTTTATTCATTTATTAGGATCATCATAGTTTTTTTAAAATTTGAGGTATAATTGATATATAACATTATGTAACTTTAAGGTTTTTCTTTTTAAAGTGTAAGTCTTGAGAAACTTTGCTTACATGAATAAGTTGATGGGGATTGAAGGAATTTTGTTAACAGTAACGTCACTCGGTTTTTTGACTTCGTTCTGACTTAAGAAATTAAGAAAAAAAGCATTGACTTATCATCAAGAACGATCTTAATGCTCAGTTAGTTAACAAGACAAGTCCTTTCTTTAATTTTAATGAAAGCAAAGAATTGGAAGCTAAACACTCAAAAAAGATTTGGTTTTCAGGTCATTATAATCATATAATTTTTTGTCAGGTACTTTGATTTTTCCTTTCCTGCCCTAAACACTATACCACAGACCCTTTTTCTTTTGACTTCCCTTCCCCCATCTCTTCTACCTTCCATTGTATTCTTTTTCATTCTCTCGTACCTTTGCTCCTTCAACACATTCACTATTCTTTCCATCCTACTCGGTCTTGAGAGCTCTTTCTTTTTCCCCCGTTACTGGAAGGTTCTTGCAAGGTGAAGTCTTCCTGTCCTGTTGCCATCTATCCTGCCCCCGCCCCCCCCAGTTCCTGCAGTTGCTCTCCTCTGCTCCTGCCAAGACTTGCTCTCTAGCTCTCCCTCTCCCTCTCTCCAACTGCCTGCCTCCATCTCTCTCCCTCGCTCAGTCTCTTTTCCAGCTTTCTCTGTATTTAAAATTTATAATTGGAATTTTATCTTCCTTATGAATAACGTTATTATTCTTTGAAGGGACAACGTGAATGCTAAGTTTAAAATACGTGTTTTAAAAAAAATAGAGCATATAACATCCATACTATTGCCAGGTAGTGTCCTAAGTGCTTTGTGTAAGCTAACTCGTTTAATTTTCAGTCCTATGAGATGGGTACTCTTGTTATCATCCTCATTCTTCAGGTGAGGAAACTAAGGCACAGAGAATTTGGGTTACTTTTATAAAGTTATACAGTAGTATTGGTGGAATTGGGATTTGGTCCTAAGCCGCCTGTCTCACAAGTCTTTGTGCGTTAACTATACTCTCCTGCTTCTAAAAAGATAGTTACTAGAATGGAAGCTTTAGCAGTAGAAATGCTTGTTTGTTCTTAGTACTGTGGCCATTTTATGGATCCAGAGAATTATAATTATGGATATAGAATATCCTTCAAGTTCAGTGATACATGAGATTTCTCAGTAAACTGCAATTTGGTATACATGTGTAAAATATTACAGTTTAAGTCACAGTTTTTATTCAAATGGTTAATTCTGTAACTGAAACATTAAACTCTTATTTATGTACTTCTCTTTATTCCCACTACATTATTTCAAGCTCTCCTTTTTCTTTCCTGGGTTATAATAGTAACTTTGCTTGTGAGATACAATACCAGGCTCTTCAGAATCAGGCTCCCATCTATCTACATTTGCAGCCTTTGTTCGTCACCCATTAAATCATTAACAAAGTCACTTTGACTCTGTGTTTCAGCCATATTGATTTAAAGTTATCTTATCTCCTGCTCTTGTATGAATTTAACCCCCTCTTTCTCACACCCTTCTCTGAATTCTTTTTCACTTCTTTTTCTGCTTAATGAATCTCTGTGTGCATGTTACGGCCGAATTCTAGTGTCACCTTCTATGTGTAGCCTGCTCATTTACACTTTGATTGCTCCTTGTCCTGTGTTCTTTGTTAAGTCTACTTCAATGATAGTACTGATTATCACATTACGTTACAACTACTACATCATATATATTTGTCTTCCTACTCAGAGTTACTTGAGTCTTAGATTGAATCTTACTTAGTTTGAGTCTTATTTATCTTTGAAGCTTGGATTCCTAATATGGGCTTGATACATCTCTGGTTTGTTTGGAAATATTTATAGTTGGATTGTGGTATAATGGAAAATATTAGATAGTTGGATTTGTATCCCAACTCTGTTTTGTATTGTATGTCACCATGAGTAAGTTCTTGATGCTCCCTCTAATATTCCCTCATCTCTAAAATGGGGGAGAATAACCCATAGGATAATGTCTATAAAGTACTAGCCTAGTGCTAAACTGATTTAGTGCTAGTTTTTTTCTTTATCAGATTTTTTGTTGTTTTTGTTTGTTGTTATCAGTTAATTGTTAAAGACAGAAGAAAAGAATTTGTAGAATTGGTTAATTCAGTGGTTCAGTGATATGATCAAGTTCTTTCCATCTTTCTATTCCTCCATCCCAGCATGTATTGGTTCTTTGACTATCTCCCCCCAAGATTGCAGGATGGCTCTGAGCAGTTCCAGATATCATCTCTTAAGGGAGGGAAAGAATTTGTTTTCTTCCTATCCATTTCTTTCTGAAAGACAGCATACCCTTCATTGGTTAAAACTAGGTCACGTACTTAATCCCATTGTCAATTATTGCCAAGGGTATGAATGCCTAGATTGGCTTAGGTTAGTCAAGAATCATACCATAGGGCTGGGGTGGAACCTAGCTTTTCTGAAAGCATGTGGCTTGGAAAAAAATTATGTTGTTTTTAAAAAAGGGGGGGAATGGTTTTGGATAGGTAACTGACAGTATCTGCCATGATGTTTATAGGAAAGTAACAAAAAGAAGAACAAATAAAAATCCTTAGTATCTACCTTACAGAATCAGCCAGGTACCATGTGGAGGATGGAACAGCCTCACACAGTGCTGATAGTGTCATCATTGAGATGTGTACGAGAAAGCACATATTCCAGAGAATTCTCCTTTAATAATAGCAGTAGTAATAATAGCAGTTGTAGCATTAGAATTTGTGGCAAAATTGTTTTCTAATTTTAAATAAAGTGAAAACCTAACATTTTCTGCTTAGCATCTTTTTAATTTGAGGACTTTTAAAAGTGAAAATAGAACCCATTTAAACAGAACAATTAGATGATACATTTAACAATAATACAAATTATAGGTACTTTTTGTTTTGTTTCTCTTTTCAGTGAATGAGCTCATTCTCAAACAGAAACAAAGATTTGAGGAAAAGAGGTTCAAATTGGACCACTCAGTGAGTAGCACCGTATGTTTCAACTCTTATTACTATTTTTTAATAAATTTCAGTTTGTTTTTATTGGTTAATTAGCTATTAAAGCTTAGTATGTCACTGATTTTTTTTTAAAGAAATTTTAAGATTATTCTGTTTAATAAAGAACTTTGTTAACTGCATTGTCTAAAATTTAGTGATCATCTTTTGAAAGGTCTTCTGGGATCACATTGAGTCAGAGTTGGCTTGTAATACATGACACTTGGAGGATTATATGGCAGGGTGGAACTATGGTTGGTAATTTGGAAAAACTGTTGGAAGATTCTCAATTTAAGAGAATCAGTCCTAAATTATTGAGGGAAGTGAGCCTAAATTAATACCTTACCAAGTACAAAGTTGAACATATGGCTAGACAAATAATTTAAACCCAAGCACGTATTTCGAAGGGAATTATACCTTTAGATGTGCTCAGTTAACATTTGTCTTGATGAATATGCCTTCCATATCTGTTACCTAGATTGATGCAAGGGAGAAATAGTGTTTAATTTATAATTAGAAGGCTTGGGGAACCATTGGCTAGGAAGGTGTAGGTTAGAATATTATATTTTTGATATCTATGTAATAAACATATTAGGAAGAAGCAGTTAAACATTTATTTTAGGCTCTCTAAAACAATCTTCTTAGGAAGTTACTATGTTTCTTCATTTTTAGAATGGCCACAGATGGCAAATATTTCAGGATTTGTTGGGAACTGATCAAGATAACCTTGATTTGGCCAATGTCAACCTCATGTTGGAATTACTAGTGCAGAAGAAGAAACAACTGGAAGCAGTAAGTGGCAGTTCAACTTTAAAAAATTTTAAGTGGTGGTCTTTATTGCATTGAAAAGGATCTAGAAATGTTTAAAAATAATAGGGTAGTATCTATCACTCAGTCTATCCAATTTAATTCAGTAAGAAAGAGAATGTGCAAGGTATCACTTCTAAAAGATTCCTCTTTTTCAAGTAAAAGAAAAGACAAATTTCTTATAAGTTGTAGTGGCCAGTTTATATTAAGAAAAACTGAGTGATAAGAAAGATCATGAGAAAGTACAGTTTCATTTTAATAGGGAACAATTATATTGGTCATTTTTCTTCTAATAAATATATTCCTCGCCAATCTTCCCTTTGGAAGAGAAAATAGAGATTATTTTTACCTACATAAGATCCTTTTAGCAGGTATCTGTTGGTGGCACCTGTAAATAAAGGCATTTAGAAAGATGGGAACTGGAACTAAATATATCCTGTTTCATGTAATAAAATGTAAATAAATGTAAAATTGCATTTATTTCATGTAAATAAATATAAACAATATAAAGTGTTTATATTTATAAACAATATAAAATGTGAATTTGCATGTATTAGGATTTGAATATGATCCATTAGGGGCAACTCACACCTTAGCATAAGTAGATTCCCCCCTGACCTAGCTTAAACAAAAAGGGGGTATCTATTGACAGGGTAAGGGAGTGAGTAGCTGACACATGTGAAAAGGAAGAGTTTAACAGCCGAATATTGGGAGGATTGGAACCATAGCCAACTTCTCTGGAGACTATATGGAGATGAGATCAGGCACTTGAATGTTGTTGGATCTTTCTTTGGTGCTTCTTGTGTCTATTTCTTTGGGACAGATCTGATTTTCTTTCCTCATTCTCAGATGTTTATAACATAATGTGGTTATTTGCACTTTCTTCATTTATGTTTTTTGATAGAAGAAAAGGGACTTTCCAGTTTCAGTTTAAAAAATTCTGTGGGTGGATTATTAATATAGCTTAGATCTGGATTCCATCTGATCAAATGGGAATCTTAGTAGAAGAAGGGAGTAGTTGAGGTTATGCTTACCAAAATGATTCTCCCATTCTGGGAGGGGGCAAGGCTGGTAGAAATTTCTCCCATATTTTTGGGGAGAGGGGGCTTTATCTTTTATTTATTTTTTTCTTTTAGTTTTACTGAGGTATAATTGACATATAGCACTGTATAAGCTTAAGTTATACAGCATAATGACTTGACATACATGTGTTGTGCAGTGATTACCACAGTTCTCTTCCTTTGCGCCACCCCACACACGTGTTCGTTCTCTTTCTCTCAAATAAATAAATAAATAAATAAATAAATAAATAAATAAATAAATCTTTGTAAAGTAAATTCGGCTCTGTGCTGGGCATGGACCCTACTTGGGATTCCATCCCTCTCTCTCTTGCATGCACCTGTGTGTGCTTGTGCACGTGCGCTCTCTCTCTCTTCTCTCTCTCAAAAATAAATAATAGAAAAATTGAAAGAAGTTTATATAAAAAGTTTCAGATTGTACTTATCCTTCTGACATATGCCTCTTTGTTTAGTTTTTGAGGTTTGTGTTGGTAAATGTAGATCTAGTTCATTTTAGCTTATGTATGGTAATCCATTACATGAGCATATCTATTCCCCTATGGTGGACATTTATGTTCTTCCTAATTCTTAGCTGTGTCACTACTACATTTTATATTGTTATACATGTTTCCTTGTGCTCATGTATATACACTTAGTGATTTAAGGAATGAAATTACTGTTTATAGAATTTACATGCACATTTTAACTTACCAGATATTGCCAGGTTGCTGTTTGGGTTTGTACTATATAGACACCTGGTATTTTCTCGTTTTTAGCTATTGCCAATCTGATAGTAGTCCGATGGGTGTGTGTGTGTGTGTGTGTGTGTGTGTGTGTGTGTGTGTGTGTTGTGGATGTTGCTACTTTTCCAAATAGATATTTTGGTAATTGATTTTTAGTTGTATTGCATTGTGGTCAGACAACATGATTTATATGATTTTAGATTGGGTATTTTTCTTGATTCCATTTTATTTTCTTTGTGGGTTTATCACGGTAAGTTTCAGTTTTGTTTCTTAGTGGTTGCTTTTGTTTTGTTTTTATTAGATTTTATTTATTTGAGAGAAAGAGAGAGAGAATATGGGGGGAGGGGGGAGAGCAGAGAGAGAAGCAGATTCCTCATTGAGCAGGGAGCCTGATGCAAGACTCAGTCCCAGGACCCTGAGATTACAACCTGAGCTGAAGGCAGACGCTCAACCAACTGAGTCACCCAGGTGCCCGCTTTTGGGTTTTTAATATAACTGTTGTTACATTGTACCTTTGAGTAATATCCTTCATCTATATTATAGAAATCTTAAAATAATATACTTCATTTCCTCTCTCATGGCCTTTGTACTATATTTTGTCAATGTATTTTATTTCTATATACTGATATGTGTTAAAAATACAATTTTGTCTATTTTTCATTAATTGTGATTTTTTGCTTAATGTATTTTGAAGACGTGTTTAGGATTGTAATGTCTTCTGGACATACTACCCCTTTATCATTATGAATTGTATATCTTTATTGCTGGAAATATTTTTTGTTCTGAAGTCTGCTTTTATATTTTTTGATGTTAATATAGCCTCAGTAGCTTAGTTATGATTAGAGCTTCTGTGGTATATCCTTCCTCATTTTTTTACTTTATTCCATCATTGTCCTTGTGTTTTAAAAATGTGTCTCTTAATAGTATGTAGTTGAGTTTTTTTTTAAATATTTTATTTATTTGAGAGAGAAAATGAGAGAGAGAGAGAAGAGAGAGCATGAGAGGGGAGAGGGTCAGAGGGAGAAGCAGACTCCCCGCTGAGCACGGAGCCCAATGTGGGACTCGATCCCGGGACTCCAGGATCATGACCTGAGCTGAAGGCAGTCGCTTAACCAACTGAGCCACCCAGGCACCCTTGAGTTTCTTTTTTTTATTTATTATTTTTTAAAAAGATTTTATATATTTATTTGTCAGAGAGAGAGTGAGCACAAGCAGGGGCAGCGTCAGGCAGAGGGAGAAGCAGGCTCCCCGCTGAGCAGGGAGCCCGATGTGGGACTCCATCCCAGGACCCTGGGATCATGACCTGAGCCGAAGGCAGATTGAGCCAACTGAAGTTTCTTTTTTTAAACACACTGTAATAAACTCATTTAATTCAAGTTCTTAAGTTCATTTTAATGTAATACAATTATTGATATGGTCAGGTTTGAGGTCTGCCACTTTGGTATTTTCTATTTTTCCATATATTACTTACTTTGTATTCCTCTTTCTTGCCTTCTTTAGAAATTAAGTTTCTAGGATTCTCCATGTTAATATTACATTTTATCTTCTCTATTTTTCACATACTTTTAAAATTGTATTTCTAGGAGTTTCTCTAAAGATTATAAAATACTTTTTCTAGCTAACCTTGAGTTTATAGTATGCCACTTCAAGGATGATGTATTCATAGTCTACTGAATAAATACTATTTTATGGAAAATGTAAAGTTCACAATAATTCAGTTTACCAAAATCCTGCTTTTTGTGATTAACTGTTATAAACCACACTAAATAGTTGTTTTTGCTTTAAATAGTTAATAGCCTTTTGAAGATATGATGCAAAAAAAACCCCAGAAAAATAAAAAACCCTCTTTAAGTCCAGTATTTACCCTTTTAGATGTTTTCATTTTTTTCTTGCATATCTGAGCTGGCATCTGGCTCATTTCCTTTTGTCAATATAACTTTTTTTTTACTATTTCTTGCAGAGCTGATAGTTCTGTTCTCTATGGAGGTCTAGTTATTTTTTTTCTTTTTAGTACTTTTCATTGTCTTTTTGCTTCTTTATTTTTGATGAAATTAGCAGTCATTCTTACTATTCTTTCCCTAAAGATAGTATAGCCCTTTTTCTCTCTAGTTGCTTTTAAGATACTCTTTTTTTTAATTCTTTTTAGAGATACTCTTTTTGACATTGGTTTTCTGCAGTTTGACTAATAGTTTTTGGTTTTATTTAAAAAAATATTCTGTTTGTTTTACAGTACCAGAAGATCTGTTGTTTGAGCATTGTGAAGGTTTATTCAGCCCTATGCTTTCCTTTTCCTCTAGGATTCCAGTTATATGTTATAATGTTTTATATCATCCTACAAATTTCTGGTGTTCTCTTTTTATTCCTTTCTCTCTACGAATTGGTATAAATAATTTATATTGGACTGTCTTTGAGTTCATTATTTCTTTCCTCAGCTTGTCCAGTCTGCTCCTCTTTTCATTTCATTCTTTTGCCTGTTTTTTCTTTTGACTTTCCACTTTTGCATGTTTTTTTAAATTTTTTAAATTGTAGCTTAGACATTCTGTATTCAAAATTGGTATAGAGACTATAGTAGTTAAGACTATCTTCCTGAAAGGTCTTGCCTTTTCCATTTTCAGGGAGCAGGGTTAAGAGATTGATTTCTGGCCTAATCAGGAATTTAGCTGAGTTGGGGTTCAGTTGTTACTTCAGTTTCAATCCATTGACTTTAAAGTGTATAGTTTACCCTTGAACAACATAGGTTTGAACTGTGCAGGTCCACTTATACACAGGTTTTTAAAAATAAATACTATAAATGTATTTTCCTTGTGATTAAAAAAAATAACATTTCGCTACCTCTGGCTTACTTTATTGTAATACAGTAATACAGAATACAGTATATAATACATATGCAAACTGTATTAATCGACTGTGTTATAAATAAGGCTTCTGGTCAACAGTAGGCTATTAGTAGTTAAATTTTTGGAGGGTTGAAAGTTACATGTGGATTTTTGATTGTGCTGGGGGTCGGTGTCCCTAATTCCTGTGCTGTTTAAGGGTCAACTGTAGTATTTTACTTTTTAGTTTATCCCTTTTTTTATTGTTACTGTGGGAGTAACCTTTTACATTATAACCTGAAGAGTATTGGTTACTGTTTTTTAATTTAAATATTTTGTATTGTGAATGTGTCTGTATATACCAGTTCTTT